ATTTGATGAGAATCAGTAGCCAGGAGTGAAAAGCATACATTTAATTAAAGTGTGGCCTGTGCTATCTATATTCATACCTAATGAGGGACAGGCCTGTGGGCTTAGCAGAGAAGGAAGGCCTAAAAGTATTAATAAAAAGCTGAGTATGCAGATAAGGCAAGTTCTAGATACTTTATTTCCGAAATCAGCGATAGCGTAAACAATATTTTGCATATTTTTGTCTTTGCATTTAAAGTTTCCAAAACTAGTGGGAAATACTAAAAGTGTAATTATTTCATGTATGGCTTTCCTGGGTAGTAGTTAACTGAAAAAAAAAAAAAAAAAAACACTGCTATAGTTAGAATTCTTAAGGAAAGTATTAATCTGTTAGATCTCAATACCTATTTCCAAACTGAGAACAAATTAAGAATTATTAGCGGTTAGGTAAAACATGATTTGCAACTCTGTGACATTTTAATCTTTTGCCAAGATGCAAAATGATGTGTGTTCCCAAATCACATCCTAAATATGTTCCTTGGTAACTCATAAAACCTACTAAACGGTTCCAATGTATAAATTAATGCCTTATTTTCAGATAAGATATAGCCTTTGTAAAGTTATTTTCTGATTATTCTAAGCTAAAAAAAGAACATATTCTTTTTATTCTAATGGAAATTTTGAACTAATTTAAGCATATCATAATAATTAAAATGCTATTAAACAACAGTTTACATTAGTTTTATCAAAATTTGTTTTTATGGCATGAATATCAGATTTCAACTGATCAAGATACTCATTCTGCTCTTATAAGACACATATGGTTTTTTGGACTTTGTTTTAAAATTAAAAATTCCGAACAAATTAGTTATTTGCATTTCTAATTATCTAATATTTGGTATCAGCAAAACCACAAAACCAAAAGGCAAATAAACCTCTTTTTTAGAACCCATAAATCTCAAACATGAAACCAGAAATATTTTAGAAAGAAACGTCTGGAATTATCTATCCATCAATTCTGCTTTGCCTAGTGATGAGCTTTGCTGTTTTGAAAGTCTTATTAGATGAAATTTCAATTACACTAATAGATTCTCATTTCCAACTATCTTGATTATAAACTCAAGATGCATTTTTTTCTGCTATAGATAGATCTTATTTCCTTTTATTTCTCGTGAGCATAAACAGATCCCACTGTTACATTTTGAAGACCACAGATAAATCAACATGTCCTTTCCTGCTAATTTTTTGTACACTCTCGCAGTTTTTAAACTCTACAGAAATGATGTTCACATAACAATAAAGCTAGAGACAAAGTTATTTATATATTATTTCTTGTCACACAAAGGACTCCATCTCAGTGTATTTCATGTAGATGATACTCAGAGTTTGATATATGATCAGTTTACCTGTTAATCAATGTCAGATAGATAGATAGATAGATAGATAGATGGATGACAATCAACTTAAGGTGTCTAGGGTTCAGTGATAAGGTAAAAAGAAATAGAGTTAATCTTAATATCAACAGTGGCAATACATATGGGTTTCCTTGAAAAAAGAATTGGGGGTGGGGCGCCTGGGTGGCTCAGTCGGTTGAGCGTCCAACTTCAGCTCAGGTCATGATCTCTGGTTCGTGAGTTCGAGCCCCATATCGGGCTCTGTGCAGACAGCTCAGAGCCTGGAGCCTGCTTCACATTCTGTGTCTCCCTCTCTCTCTCCCCTCCCCTGCTCGCACTCTCTCTCTCTCTCAAAATAAATAAACATTAAAAAAAGAAAAGAAAAAAAAGAATTGGTACATTAGGAACTTTCGATGCCTTGGGAGCATAACTCATGGACTACAAAACACATTCACATCAAAGATATATAAATAGGCGCCTGTTCTGCTGAACAAGGAGCCCTAATTTTCAAACCGCTCTTCCCCTGCAGGCATGGGTGCCCACTTCACTTCCTGACTGCGTGTGGCGGAAGGATCTTGGGATGCAGACCCCAGCATGCATTAGTACCCTCTTCATATGGGAGCTTCTCAGGGCCCAGGATGAATCTCAACAAGACACTGCCCAACACGGACACAGCAGTAACCACTGGGGGGCGAGTAGGGAAAAAAGGCCAGCAATATTATTTGATGGCATCACATAATACATAATTTTTCTTACTTGCCAGATCTGTGCTAAGAGTTTCATACACATTATTCCCATTCGATCTTTATAAAAGGGGTTGTTAGCTTTCTTTTAAGATGAGTAACAGAACAGGTAAGTCCATTTGCCTGAAATTACAGTGGAAGGATTTGCATACGATTGTTTGTGAGTAGGAAAGCCATCTATTCTGGACCCTGCCACCTTGCCACCATGTCACAGGCCAAGGAACATTTGGCACTTGTGCTAAATCTTTCTTCACGTGGAAACTTCGGAAGGGTCTCTTCTTCCACAAACTTCTCGCAAGACGAATGCCTTGCATGGTGTGGGGGCAGCCGAGAAGTGAATTATTGTATGCCCAGACTAGCGACATGAGACACAGATAGACAAATGCTTTGGTGATCCGATTCTAGGCATTTGGCTAATGAACTCCTTGTAAGTCCTTCTGGGTGTCCGCAGTGGACACCGTGGGATTCTCCTTCCGCACAGATCAACACACACGGAGTCAACACGACTCCAACACGGAAATCACATCTGTATTGTCGAAGGCATCCCAAGAGCAAAGCTAATGAGGGACCAGACACAAAATTTCTAGCCATGTCAATGAGTGATGCAGACGAATGGAAGGAAAGTTCTGTGCACCTACACCATATTGCCACACCTACTCAGTCTGTTTCTGAGTTTGGAACTCTGTGTGAATCACCGACTCGGAATCAGGAAAGTGGCATCAGCGTGCTATTTTAAAACCATCTACGTCCTCTGAGCTCGGTGCGCCTTTTTCTGCCCATTTGAGTGCATTCTTAAACATTTAATTAGTATCTCAGCTCCGCGGAGGTATAAGTCGGTGTATTTGCTTAGGTAATTAACAATGAAGACAAAAGCATCTAATCACTGTTGGAAAGTGAAAGATTGGAACTTAAGAATATTAGTGCCTGTTTTTCAAAGCTGATAAGGTTAAGCCTCTCAAAGAAGAACGGAAGTGTATTGCGAAGAGCCACATATAATTTGCAATACAATCCTACCTTCCTTTTCTTTGAAACACAATGAACAGCGTTAGGAAGTGGCATTATTAGCACATTCTAATCTTTCACGCAGCACCCATCGGCTTAATCGAAGCTGCAGGACAGCTTGTCTAAGCATGCCGCCTGCCTTGGAAGGGCAAATTGCCAACACGGCCCCGCCTAACAGCATGTGGTTTGAAAAGAGAAGGCGCTTGTTTCCGGCTCCCTGTGTCGTGAGTTTAAAATCAATTTGTATTTTCGCGCAAAGACTGAAGTTAACATATTATTTGCTTATGTGGCCGTATGTAACATTCGCATGTGAACCTGCAGAACGGAGTGCTCTCGGGTGTGCTCTCATTTGCCTAAAACCTGTCCTGAAACCCTGCTTTTGCTGTACGTATTTGTACTAAAGTCGAGACTGGAAATATCTTAAAGGACATTCACCACAGAGGGGCAATAGAGTGGCCTGGGTAAGATTTTGGAGAAGACAAAAAGGGATGATGATGACAAACCCTGCTTAGCTATCCCAAGTACGCACAATGGAGAACCCCCCCCCCCCCACCCCTGCCTTCGCTGCTCTTGGAACCGTGGCTTCTCGCCAAGAACAGCAAAGGTTGCCTCCTTGAGGTTTGAAACACACAAACGTATCAGAATAGTTTTCTCCAAATACTTTTAAAAGAGGAGTAATGCATTCAAACACAATCCTTGCGCATAAACGTTTAAACATAATTTCTCCTCCTTCCCTTCCCTTGTGAGATGCTAAAGACATTCATTGAAGGCTCTAGGAATGCTATTTAGTCAGGTGCGACAAATATTTCCCAAGTGCCTACCACTGTCCTCTTCCTTTATGTCTCCTCACCATCCCAACAGAAGCCCTTCAACTTTCCAGCTTCTCCCAAAGGGTGGGTACAAGCCACCTAGGGTGGAACCATTTGGGCCAAGTGTTAAAATCTGCCCACCTAAAATTCCTAGGCCCACCTAAACTGAATGAGAGTATCTGAGGCCTGGGCTTCAGATCTGCACATTTACCAACATCCAAAAAAATAGATACATAAGTAACTAACCACAAAACACAACAACACATACACACACACAAAATTGGTGAACTTTCTGCCTTGTGCTAATTCAGTATACCTTAAGATTAAGCTCCTCTAAATTTTGTCTCTTTCCTTTTCTTTCTCTCTGTCTCCCTCTTTCTCTCTCTGTCTCAAACCACACACACACACACACACACACACACACACACACACACGTCTGTATGAGCTCTTCCGATGGATTCTGCTACTGTGTAAGATTTTACAGACATAAATTCTATTGTTTATAAGCTTTCTTAAAAATGTTTATTTATTTATTTTGAGAAAGAGAGACAGAGGGAGAGTGTGAGAAGGGGAGGGACAGAGAGAATCTCAAGCAGGCTCCATGCTGTGAACACAGAGTCCAATGCGGGGCTTGATCTCACAAATCGTGAGATTATGACTTGAGCTGAAATCAAGATTTGGACACTTAACGAACTGAGCCACTCAGGCTCCCCTGTTTTTAAACTTTTAAATATTTGTAAAGAATTAGAGATGCATTTCACCAAGAGATATATTCAGTGGACACTGACTGGTAAGGATTAATAGAAAACCCAGAAAAACATAACAAGCAACCCTTAAAGTATTTCTTTGAAGTACATTTCATCCTGGGTAGTACTCACAATTCTGTTTCTACTATGAAACACACACACACACCCACACACACACACCAATTAAGAGATCATTTGAAAAATCTGATAGCACGCTGGACCAATGTCATATCTACCTAATGAATAAGTTGAACAGTATTTAGCAATGCAATGAATCCTCATTGGCACATGGGAAAATCATGGTATTAAGAAAAAGTGAAGAAAACTTACCACTTCTTCATGTCTGCATTTTCTCACATTAATTCCATTTATCTGCAAAGAAAAGAAAACTGGTTTCACGTGGCCTATTGTGAATTGAATTTATATTTTGGTTGCACATAGAAAATTAGGGTAAAATTTATACCTGCAGAATCGCATCCCCAATAAAGAGCAGACCTGAAAGTTCCGCTGTGAAGAGAGAAAAGCAATGATTATGCATCGACTATTTTCTTCATACCTATGAAAGAGTTTTATAATTAAATCAAATCAATATTGATACAAGGGGGAAAAATAAATATTTTATATAGACAGCATCGTAAATGATCCACAAGTAATAGAAATGCAAAAACAATCTTATGATTCCGCCCAGATATTGAAACACCTATTTCTGTTTAATCCTATCATTTCAGATCTTACAGTTGCCGAAAACTGGTCGCTCTTCTGGATGGATGACGAGATTTTCTCATGTACTTATCGTATTAAGGTATCTATGAAAAAGCTTGAATCTAGACATTCAGTCCTTCCGCTATGGGATCAGCTCTGGGTTTCCTTTTAAACATTAGATTGTCTTACTGATTTCAGTTGCTTTACATCTTTGGTGTGTTTTTGAGTGAAACTTCATGATAGACTGAGTAAAACTTCATATGAGAACAGAAAAAAATATGTATGTCAGGAACTGCCTATATTTGACAGGACTTGCTATCATTAAGTTTGTGGATATGTTTGTTTGCTAAATGAAACAATTGAAAAGCTATGTGGTCCCTGATTTATAGAGTCACACTCTCTCTTCTCTTTCCCCTTTGCTTTTCGTGAAAGAAATATGCCCCAAAAGTAATAAAGGGAGAGCCTCAGGAATCAGACTCAGCCACTTACTGCCTGGTCATGGGGAACGTGGAGCTGGTCAATCATATCCTAATCGATAGTATTTAATCCGACTTATTCTACAGTAAGGATGGCTTACAAAGGAATGGTTACTATATAATTCTCTTAACACTTTACCTCTTTGCTCCTTGGAGATTTTTGAAATGACAACTGGAATATTATGTTCTGCTCCCCCCTGAAAAGAGAAAATCATATATTGTGCTTTTTAATTGCAAAAAATAAAAATGCAGGTTTCAGTTAGAAAACTATACATGCAATGAATAGTCTGTGAATGGACACCAGATAGAATTTAAACAAACTTGTGGAGTTTCTCTACTCAGCACATAGTGCTCCCCAAAAAACGTAATCTACCTGTTTAGAATTTCACGGTGATATCCAGTAACTAATAACAGTTGACTTTGAAAGCTTTTGTTTTCCATATAAAGATTGGAAGTGCTTACATGGGCATTCTCTTCAATGTGTATCATGCTGTCCATTGTAGAAATTCTTATTTAGCATTCGAATACCAAATAATTATGTATTTACATTAACTGGCTAAGTTGTTCTAGGCTGCTGACCAAGCACAGGTCCCCTTGGATGCTAAGTAACTAAAGAGACCTTTACCTGCACAAAGTGATACAGAAAGTCAGACTGCATATGCATGATGGGAAAGGGGTCACCTACATTCCTTTAATTAATAGTATATTCCTCTTAGTGTGAAAGTATATATGAAACAATTAACAAAATACAATAAACTGGCAAGAACATTGTAGTAATTCTTCATCTAGTTGACCAAATGATACATGAAAAAAGAAAAAAAAATATGTAAGTTAAACTTATATGGAAGGAAATAAAATAAATCCCTGAAATGAGCACATAAAACTTCTGTTTCGGTATGACAGAGTTGAGAAGGTTGAAATCAATAGTTGAAAAATCAAATAAAGGCATTAAAGAATAAAATGTCATGCATAAAAGAAATATAGCACTTTTAATACAGGATAGTTGCAAAGACAATCTAAAATCCCACTGGGTTTCTCTACCTTCAGAACAAGTAAACTTCTTAAATATTTTTTTATTTAAGGACAAAAGTTATTTCAGAACAGATGTTTTTCCATGAATGTCAATTTTTAACTCTGAATTGTCAATATACTTAAATATAAGATGGGCAATTATTGTTGAGAAAAGTAATGACATTCAGCTTTTTTCTTGGAAAGTAGTCCCTTTTCCTTCTAGAATATCAAAGACATGTGATAAATAAAATACTGAAACCGTCTTACTCCGACTGAAATTCAAACCCAGTGCTAACTCTCTTGTCTCACTATTTCTCACCAACCAAATATTCAGCTCCCACCTTCACTAGCTCTGTAAAGTCTCTGACCTAAGTTGCATAGCTCCTAATTTTCCTTTGCCTTTTGGTCAGTATGCCCATAAGAAGCACTAATTGTGTCTAACGTGACCTCTCATCTGATCGAAGGATAGTGATTTGTGACTGATAGTGTAGTTGAATGAACGCTTATTTAACACACAATAAACACTGAATACAAGGTAGCTATTATCCTAATTAGTCTATCAATTAAGATTTATGAATAAAATTACATGGCATTAGAGTGGTAAATAAGCTTAGCACTAATCCATTCTAAAACCCTCAGCATTTACTATTTAGGGTTCCCAGTTCCCAATCCCCTATTTTTAATTCTATTCTTTCTTACCCATTATAATTATCAGCTTCCAACCTACTATTATCTTTATTCATTTCTTATATTTATTTGCTTTCTTTCTCCTTCCCCCATCCGTAACTAGAATGTAAGTTCCAAGAGGGCATTGAATTTTTTTGGTAATTTGTTTCACACATTGATGTAAACTCAATGCATGGAGTAACGTCTTTCTTTTTTATCTTTGAAATGTTTGTTGATGAATGAGTGAATGAATAAATGAAGTCAAAAGCTTTTCCAGGACTAAGATAGCTCCATTCTTCAAAGCACATTGCAGAATGATTTTAAGTAGAAGCCAAGAAGGTACAATGAATCGAATGACCATAGTCATAGTTGGTGTCCAGAGACACTTGGAAATTGGAAGGAATTTTAAGAACACATCTCCATTTCTAAGAAGAAAAAACTGGTTAACGGAGATGAACCATCCACCAATGAAGTTTCAGGTGGTAGAAAAAGAAGAAACAAACTCATCCAGATACTGTATGGTTCAGATATTTGGGGGCAGAGAGTGACATTGTTTATGTCACTCTTCTCTGTGTGGCTATCATCAGAGTGTTTTTCCTTCAGCTGTTTTGCTTTTCATAGTTTTTTTCTCCTTGCACTATTGAATCCAAAGATTTTCTTCGTGCCAAAGATTTTTCATACCAGTTACCATGGTAGGCCAGTGGGAAACCTCTCGCTGGGGTCTGCCTTGAGAAAAGACAGTTGGAATAGCAAGTTCTGAGGGCGAACTCAGTAACCCCACTCATCTCTCAACGCCAGGAGACTTATAGCTATTTTTCAATGACAGGATATAACTAACACCTATTTTGTCAACATTTTTTTTCTCTTATATGTAAAATCTGTCCTGAAATTTGAATGATTTGAGTCCAAAGGTGGGTTTTTCGTTTTGGGGTCTTTTTAAATCAGACATTAAGAGCTCAGAAAGGATTCTTGATCTAATTGCAGAAAATTACTTTATTAACTAATTAAAGAGCAAATTTTTAGACAACACTCGGGAGATAAAATTGGAACTTAAAATTACAGTACCTTAATTTATTGGATGAAATGTGAGAGCAGTCCAGCTCTATTAAAGTTAATTAGATTTAGTTCTGGACCTAAATGGGGAAATGTAAGGTTGTCCAGTCAAGAATCAAATAACGCAACTCATCCTATTTAAAATAGGTGATAGTGGGGCGCCTGGGTGGCGCAGTCGGTTAAGCGGCCGACTTCAACCAGGTCACGATCTCGCGGTCCGTGAGTTCGAGCCCCGCGTCAGGCTCTGGGCGGATGGCTCAGAGCCTGGAGCCTGTTTCTGATTCTGTGTCTCCCTCTCTCTCTGCCCCTCCCCTGTTCATGCTCTGTCTCTCTCTGTCCCAAAAAAAATAAATAAACGTTAAAAAAAAATTTTAAATAGGTGATAGACTTCCCATTACACTTAGAATAAAACCCCCAATCCTCAGCGGTCCCCTGTCTTGTGGTCTCAGCCTGCCTCTGCCTCTTCATCCTGGACCTTCATCACTCTGAGCACCAAAGGACATCAATATATACTATCCCCTCTGCCTGGACACTTTTTTCTTTTACTCTTAACCTGGTAAACTCCTACTCAGATTCAAAATTTCAGGTTAAGGACCCCATTTATCAACGTCTGCTTACATGAAGTAATTCACTTCTGTAACACTGGATCTAGGCTGTGATTTACATTTATTTGCATCAAAATTTGATCAATGTCTACTTTCCTACTAGACTGTAAAGGTCCTGAGCTCCAGGCAGAGCTTCCTTTACTGGCTTCTCCCCAACCTACCCTTCGGATGGCTTGGGTACATGGCTTGTGGTCAAGTTTAGAGAATAAATGAATTCATTGAACTCTGTTGTTCCAGTGTAAAATCAAGACGAGGGAAAGTGAGGCAACATTCTACAATGCATCCCAGAAAATATTAAAACATATACCATTCAATGTATAATTAAGCTTATGGCTAACTTTATAGGAACCAGGATATAAAGTCCCATCTAAAACATTTTTAGTAGTATTCTATATAAAGCATTTGCCAATATAACTGTGAAATTCCACCAAATAAAACCCAGAATGTTTTCAGAGCTTGGGGAATCTTGCCAAACAAATATTTTCAGTTCAGCATTTTCATTATTCCAATCAATCAATCAATCAATCAATCAATCATATTCTGGGATCTGGGGGGAAAAAAGAAACATAGACCCCACCATTATATATTTACTTACAGCAATAAAAATATTTGTAAACAGATAATAACAACACAGTAATTAAGGTTAAGAGCCCAATGAAGAAGTATGGGAAAAGCACCTAAAGGAATATAATCTGAAAGAATATTGGAAAATATCCTTATCTGTTCGATTGCCATGCTTATCTGCTAGTATCACCTAGTTTGATCTCAGCACGGATTAATGATCCTTCCCACATACTATATGACTGCCTTCATATGAAAGTCCAAAATAGAGACTGAAAGTACATTAGTGGTTGCATAAAGCTGAGTTAGGGCGATAGGTGGAGAAGGGGATGATAACTCAAGGATATGAGGGGGATGAAGTGCTCCAAAATTGACTATAGTGATGGTTGCACACATCTGTGAATATAATGAAAGTCACTAACTTATAAATGTGGTTACATTGCATGGTATGTAAATTACACCTCAATACGCTATTTAATTAAAAAATGCTCTTTAAAATGATAGTCGGTCAGTGCTTTTAACTGATTCTTGGGACTAATCCATTATCTTCAACTTAAGCCTTATTACATGTCTGGTATCCTCCTATTTCTATGGTGGAAAGGTATATATCCATGTTGTCCCCGGTGGAAAGAGAAGAATCAGACTCAAGTGAAAAGAAAAAGGAACACAATGAGGAGAAATGCAACCATATGCAAACTAACATCAACAGTTGATATTTAAAGACTTTGCCCTGAAATCACTAATAAATTGAAAGAAAGAAATTTATTATACCTAGTTTGAAAACATAGTTTTTGGTAAACTTGGTAAAAGTAATACCAAGCCCTGGATATTAAATTCTTTGCTTGATCCTGGACTCATTGATCCGTTTATTTTAGTTTTGAATAAACCATAGCATAAATAATTTAGAAAGGAAACATTATTTGTGTTCCCAGGTAGAGAGTTTAGAAATAAAATTATTTCTAAATAATTTTCCATATCTATCTGTATCTATATAATATATATAACTATATATTATATATGTATTTATCATATATTTTATATAATATATGTGATATATATTCTATAATTACATGTTATATATTATATATATATATTTTTTTCTATATATTCCAGTTTCTATACCTATAGAGCATAGTTATTAAGAGCCTTCTCTTATTATTATTAATAATAATAAAATGTTATCTGCTTTAGGTGAAGTTTAGGCCTAGATCTGCCCTGTACGACAATGGATAAATTACTTAACCTCTTAGTACGTAACCCCGTTGTCTATAGAGGGATAGCGATAGTTACCTACTTTGCTA